GGGGGGGGGGGGGGGAGGGGATAAGGGGAAAAAAGCCCTACTACTAGCCAAAATATATTTTTTAAAAATTCATTTAAAAAAAAATAACTCGATTAAAAGCTAGCTGTGACTTGTCTGTTTACAACAGGGCTTCTCAATCAACTGTCTTCCTTATTTGTGTGTTTACTGTGATCCAATATGGACTAGGCGTTTAAATTTCATATTTTTTTAAAAAGTCTTTAAATAATTCTAAAACTCTTTTAAAATGTATAGACTATATGTCACGAATATTCAGACACTAACTCAAAGTACTTAATATTCCTGGGAGTCTAATTGATTTGTTTTAGAAACGCTGCCCGGGGGCGACAAACACGGGGAACTCCCGTTTACCAAGTTACAAGTCCCGACAAGTCCAATATTATCAATGAACGCTAACCTCTCTCACGTGACACGACCCCACCGTTTCAGTTCGTCGTACCCTACCGCTGATTGGGCGAAGGTGTCAACAGCGGGGCGCTGATTGGCTGGCGGTGTCGCATAGAGAAATCAAACACATGCGAGACTTGTATTCCTCTGAACATGTTTGGTCATGACGGATCAAGCATCAGATTGCTCTGTTTTGTCGCCCGCACTGGAGGATATATAGTAGAGTGTTTCCAACGGACCACATCATTTCTTTCCAGACATCTAAAATAAAAATATGATGTTAGTTGTTTGGTGTTTTTTTTGGTCGTAAATAGAAATTCCTCGTTGCGGTTTTAGTTCAGACAAGTCAAAAGCCAAGAGTCAAGTGTGTCAATCCTGAAGTTGGAGTACAAATTGGATAAACTAATTGCGTGATTTTGACGTCTGCTCATCGAACTTTCACTTACAACAACTAACATTGTTCAAGGTATGTCATTTATTGTGTGTACAGCTGCAGCACAACTAAATTATTTTAACAGCTAAATTTAATAGCTTTTTTTGTTGGGTCTCATTATCTTGCCAAAGGACACTAAAGGCAATAATATATTTAATTAAGCGATCGTTTAAAATATTCTTTTTTTTTTAAAAATACCATTGATCGTAAGTCGTCATGATGTCCAAATGTCATGAATGATGTGTGGGCGTGGCTGTTTAATTTTTTTTTTTTTGGTGGCCTGTAGTTCTGTGAAACACTTTGAGAATTAAACCAAAAAGATTTTAAATTGAGTTCCATACATTCCAGCCTTGATTTATATATATATATATATTATAGCCCATATATAAATTATACGGTGTGACTATTCAACTATTTTAATTGTAACACTAATACCTGAGGTAAGGTAAACCATTGGCGGTATAATCATTCAAGCCCCCCCCCCCCCCCAAAACCCCCCCCCCCCCCNACATAAATATAAAAGTAATTTAAATTGAAAATCGTTCAACATGTGCATATTGATAACTTGTAAAAAAAAATGGGGGGGGGGGGGACATTTAATTAGTATGGTGTATGATCTCCAAGCTTAACAACCACCGTTTATAACAACACAGTTCTGTTGGGCCCGTCAGTTAAACAGGTTCACATTAATTACTGTTATATTTTTACCCTTAATTTTAAGATATCTTATTTGAATCTATAGTGCGCTGAAGTGTGGTCAGTTCATTATTAAAACGATATGAAAAGGGACAAAACTGATTTTACCTTGTGACGTTTTACTGGACGATACATTGTATTCTATTATAAGTGCGAAATCTTTTAAAAGGATTGTTGTTTTTTCTCGTTACATGAGAATTATAGCATAAAAATACCATATTATATTGCCAGGCCCAGAACACACTTATAATAACAATGTTCCCGTCCTACTTGTAATTGCCATCTTTTTCATTCTACTTTTAAATGCCATGTTGTTTTTTTTCCCTACACACTTAAATGTCATGTATATAATATTCTACTCGTAAATTGAATGCTTATGCTCTACTTGTAAATACCATGCTCCTGGGCGCTGTCTCGGGTCCTTTAATTAAGTTAAATCGATTCTCAGCGGCCTGAGTGTCTGCAGTTATTTTGGAAGCAGCTTTTCCTTATTTAGAGCCACGACTTCTGCCTGCGCCACGTTTACACCACAACCCCACCAGGAATTAATGGCTTGTACGAACCAAAGCCATAACCATTAACATGAAATCAGGCGTTCATTTTTCGGACACATAATTTGCACTTCCCTCGAGATCTCTTAGCTCATGTCGAATGTCGCAGACCGTTTTAGGTTGAGCGTAGGAGGTATCGTTGTCGGAAACAAATTTATCAGTTACAAGACCCAACTGTGACGCGAAATGGGCGTCTGTCCGTTGCATTTGTCTAGGCTCCTATGCGTTTGCGGTTTTTTGCATCCGATTACAGTACTGAAAGGGCACTGTACGCTCCTAATCCACACATAAACCTCAAAACTACATCTATTCACATCACCCACATAACTTCACATCACCCACATAACTTCACATCTCCAACACAGTTTCACATATCCAAAATAACATCGCATCTCCAGCACAGCTTCACCTCTCCCACACACCTTCACCTCTCCCACACACCTTCACCTCTCCCACACACCTTCACTTCTCCCACACACCTTCACCTCTCCCACACACCTTCACCTCTCCCACACACCTTCACCTCTCCCACACACCTTCACCTCTCCCACACCCCTTCACCTCTCCCACACACCTTCACCTCTCCCACACACCTTCACATCTTGTATCTGCGACACACCGGTGTTTACTATTTAATCGTCAGGAATGGCTCAAGCCGTTTCTAGTAGCGATGGAGACGGTTTGCTGATCTGGACCGGAGCAGTTTTGGGTGGGGGGGGATGCTTGTGCCCTCCATGTTCACATAAAACGTATAGGTACTGGGGAACCAAGTGGTCTAAACCGAGCAAAACTCAAGTTGAAGGTCAGGAATTCTAATCCCCACCAAAGTCCAGTCAAGAAAAAAACAAAACAAAAAAAAAACCATCACCAGCACCCCGGATGGAAGGGACGCTTTAAACGTCTAAGAGGAGGCGTCCCGTAGGCGGATAACATTGGTTCAATGAAACATTCCAACAACTCCTGAGACGCCACTGAAGCTTTATCATCCACACATCATCCACACATCATCCATATCCCCTTGGCTTATCCAGCGGCGTGGTGAGAGGCGTGTAGCCGGCCGGTACAACTTTTACAAACGTTTTGAGAATTTTTTCGCTTACGGATTCAAATTGGTTGAATGAAGCGCTCAGTATGAGAACAACAGTCGGAACCGATGTCTTGTCTTCTGCCTATTGGCGTAATGAAGCAAGAACACTTTGCCTCAGGTTGTGTTACGTAACACCCCAGTGGAAGATTTATGCTCCTGAGATTAAACGGTAATCCCCTTAATCTTTTAATGGCCTTAAGTTCTTCACGGGCTAGGACGGGGTTTGTGGCGAGACTACCTGAACTGAATGCAACAGTGGCATCTCTAGGCTTTAAATACCACAACACACTGACGACTTTAAGTCATGACGCACTGACGACTTAAAGTCATGACGCAGAAGACTAAAAAACATGACACACTGCCAAAGACAAAGAAACACAACTATCTGTTTTTTCGAGGCATAAACCATTTTAAAAAAAAAAACCAAGTTACATTTTATTTTTATTTAAATTTCTTTCTAATGAAATTTGTAAATGTACATACATATTAGATGGATGAAACTGATATCAAACAATAAATGTCTGAATGCACCCAAGGATTCATTTGAAAATATCTGTAAGATATAAAAAAGATTTCACGTTCTAGGCATCAGGGCACCTACACCCCCACCTCGCTCCCCCACCCCTTCTTTTTATGTATACACGTTAAAAGAAAATACTTTACAATCACCCAAAATTGATGCATTGTCGGAACCAGAATATTGCTTAAATTTGTAAAAAAAAAAAAAAAATTTTTTTAATTCTCAATGTTACAAATTCCATTTAAATGAAGTAAGTTACACAACAGTTACAGCAAGGGTAGATAATGGATCCAGACATGAGGGAGGGGGGTGGTGGGGGGTCCGGTAACAAGCATTTCAGAATAACCTCTTAAGCGGTATAACTGATGATGCCTTCAAAAATAAGCAAGAAATCTCTCAAGTTAACATTCCCAAGTTAACATTCTCAAGTTAACATTCCCAAGTTAACATTCCCAAGTTTAACATGCCCAAGTGAACATTCCCAAGTGAACATTCCCAAGTGAACATTCCCAAGTTAACATTCCCAAGTTAACATTCCCAAGTTAACATTCCCAAGTTAACATTCCCAAGTTAACATTCCCAAGTGAACATTCCCAAGTTTTGTAAGGGTTCAATTGTAAGGGTTCAATTGTAAGGGTTCAATACATTCCCAAGTTAACATTCCCAAGTGAACATTCCCAAGTTAACATTCCCAAGTTAACATTCCCAAGTTAACATTCCCAAGTTAACATTCCCAAGTTAACATTCCCAAGTTAACATTCCCAAGTTAACATTCCAAACCTGTTGACGATGTCACGAGTCGTTGATATGCGATGCTTTCAAAAAAAAAAAAAAAGACAACCACCTCCCCCACCTCTCTCTCTTCCCACCCCCCTCCCTACAGACATACAAGTACATAGTCATCAGACCAGAGATATAGGTTATACCTATACGCGCACCTCATCACACCCAGGGTAACAGAGCGGCACCCGAAGAATGCCCATCTCCCACCCCACCCCACTTAGGCCTTTCCCGTGACGTCCTCACCGGCCCGGCTAGGCCAGAGTTTACTCGGAAAAGTGGGAAAAGGGGGGTGGGGGGGTGTTGAGATATGATTTCATAAGTTCAACTTATCTGTACAGATGTTTGTGTACACTTCAATTCGGGTCGCTCGCTCGCTGGACGAATTAAGCCTTTGTGTAAACTCCGGGATTAAAAGCTTATTGTTGCGTAAGAGTTATTTTAAGGGTTGAAACTCTGCTATCCATGGTCCATAGGTGGAGCTGGACTTTGTCTAAGGAAAACAGATGGAGACGGGGGGGGGGAGTAGTGGGGGGTCAAAGGTTAATTGAAATAATTGTGGTAAAAAAAAATACCCAATTTTTTTTTTTTTTTTTTTTACTGGCATCCGTCGTCACAATGTGACGATGGTGTGGGCTCGAGGTGGCCGAAATCACAAATGACCGGTCACTCAAAGAGATTAATCGTAATCTTGGGAATTTTTGCCAGTGGAACCGCCCTTACTGGCGTAGGTATGGACGCTAACAGGACCAGCAGGTTTCAGAACAGTCACAAGACAAGGCACTCGCTATTCTTCCCCCCCCCCCCCCCCCCCTTTTTTTTTTTTTTTTTTTTTGAAGATGCGCGTAGAGTCCGCCGTACCATCAGATACAAACAAATCTTTCATTCTTTTAAGTCTGTGCTGCTGGTTGCCGTCTTTAAACTCTAAGTCGAAGGCGATGTAACACAGAGGGACTGAATGGGGTCGGCCACCAAAGAAAGCTGACCCGCCTCCATACATAAACTTTTAATCTCATATTATAAGTCACCAACACACTGAACGTTTGAAATGGGGACAGCCTGAAGACAAGACAGTCACGCATGACAGGGCGTCAAAAAATGGATACATCATATTTTATGTTTTCTAAAAGTAGACATGACTCATTTGTTTATTTCTAATATATATACTCTTTTTTACGAATGTTTTTAATCCTGCAGTTTTGTGTGGGTTCTCCCCCCCCTTCCCCTTCCCCCCCCCCCACCACCAAATACATTTTAAAATTGTTGACATTCAAAGCCAGTAACCCTTAACATAAAATTGTATGTACCATTTCAGGCAGCGCTCTACTGGTTGAGATGTCTCCCGCCGCAATGCTGTCATCAAAAACCTTGACCGTCGCCATCCTGGTCAGCCTGTCATTTGTGTTCATTCCATCCTGTTGTGGTCGCACCCTGGACGATGCCGGTGGGGAGGCCGCTGAGGATGACCACTGGCCGGTACTCTGTGCCCCTAACACATACTACAGTAAAGCTGTGGTGAGTTGGTTTTTCTGTTTGTTGTATACTATACCAGGACCGTCGTGTGTACCTCCAAATGTCAAATTATGTTGACGTTTGTATTACCCATCCTTACATCACCCTACTCCCCCTCCCCCTTCCCCCCCCCATCTTTTCCTTCCCCAACCCAGGGGCGCAGCTTGATGAAACGATCCTGCTGTCGAACTCACAAAATTGTGCCGCACTTCCATCATCATCATCATCATCATCATCATCATCATCATGTCCCTTAGTCCTTGGACCGTTGGGGCGCCACAGATGACATGTGAACTATCCTCCTCCATTCGTCTCTGTCTTCTGCACTACGCACAGCATCGCCCAGTGTTAGTCCCGTCCACTCTTTGATGTTTATCCTCCCATCTTTATCTCTGTCTTCATCTTCTTCTCCCTCCTCTTGTGGTGCCCTGCAATATTTCTTTGGCAAGCCCTTGTTTCCTGGTTGTGCCGCACTTAGAAACACACAAACAAATTATATTATAAACCCCAAAAGTACCGCCCAGTGCGTCCCGCCCCCCCCCCTCCTTTTGTTCACTACCCCATGCCCCATTCTCCCCACGGTCCGTTGTAAGAGTTTTTACTCTGATTTTGAAGGGGTGTGGGGGTTGGGGGGGGGGGTCGTGCTGTCAGAGTTATCACACAGTCTACATCGTCCTGATGTCACCCACCTTATGTTGAATGTCTATCTCAGCAAATACAGCCTACAAACTCATGTCTATTTACTTGGCATATCTGACAGACTCCTTTTTTAAAGAATTTTGGGTGCGATAAGTTTGATTTTTAAAAATAATTGAACCAAGTTTACTTGAAAGTAGGTGAAATGTTGTAGCTGCCATAGCTTCGTACACTACCGGCATGTGTTTAAATGTTAGCGGCCAATCAATGACATGTCTGACTTGTTAGGCTAAAGTCTTTTTTTTGAAAACGGGCTCCTGTGGGGTGGCGTTGTATCGACTATTTAATTTTACTCTACTAAATTCAACCCCCACCCCCTCACTTTTTTTCTTCTTCTCCATCTTTTCGTACATATAAAATTGAATGTGTAACCCTTTCCGTCTGTCTCTTTCAGGAAAGCTGCGTCGTCTGCTCGGAGTGTCCGGTAAATACAATAATCACGAGCCCGTGCCACAGATTCCAGGACACCAAGTGTGGACCGTTCTACGACTTCAACGCCATCCTGGAGGCGGGCCGGGAGCATTCTGAGGGCGACAGCCAGGAGGAGGGAGGCGATGAGGAGGGCCTCTCCCCCGACGACGGAGGCGTCGTCGCAACCACCAGATCCAGCCTCATCAACAAGTCGGGTCAGCCCGCCGTCGGCGACGCTGTCGGGGTTGAGTGGAGGTCTGTGGCTGTGAAGCTGTCCCTGATCATCACCGGATTCGTGCTCACCCTGGCGGTCATCATTGTCGGCGGGGTCTGTTACATAAGAAGGAAGTACATCAACGGAGCGAAGAGCGGCGGTGTCGTCTGCGAGTACAGTCCTGCTCCAGGGGCGACCCCTGTTCAAGAGTGTTGACCGGGATGGCGCGCTGTTGTCTTGATCTGTAAACAAGATCGGTTTGTTTAGTCCCCATCAGATCATTGAGATGAGCATTGGTAAATGTCTTCTCTTCCACCGTGCGTCTTTCTGTCGGTGAGAAAGTGGATGGTACTGCTTGACATAGCAAACGGCACTGCTGAGGCTTAGAAGTGCTGGTTGCTATACGGTAGCGTGGTCGTGACCAAGGCCTTGATATAGACACTGTTATAAATACCCACGTGTCATGGTTGATCTTCTGAAGTACAGGTCTCGCTTGATTGGAGATTTTTCTTTTTTTTTTTCATGCAGCAGAAGAGTGCATTGGAATAGTTTGATTTTCCTTTGTTATGATTAAAAAAGCTTCAAATCTTGTCATGAGACTAATAACGATGCGATTGTAAACAAGTCCCACTGTCTGGTGACTGTTCAGTGCTACACAAAATGGCGTTAGCGCTACTACGGTGTTACACTATGAATTATTACAGCTGCGCGGGCGGTCCTTGGCACTCAAATCTTTGAGGACCACTTGCCCAGGTTGCTATGCATTTTTAAATAGTTAAAGATTTTATTACACATTCTGATTTTAATTTGCAGAAAATGTTTTCAGTTAACACTGCAATCTGAAAGTAATCGGTCATCATTGTCGGCGGGGTCTGTTACATAAGAAGGAAGTACATCAACGGAGCGAAGAGCGGCGGTGTCGTCTGCGAGTACAGTCCTGCTCCAGGGGCGACCCCTGTTCAAGAGTGTTGACCGGGGTGGCGCGCTGTTGTCTTGATCTGTAAACAAGATCGGTTTGTTTAGTCCCCATCAGATCATTGAGATGAGCATTGGTAAATGTCTTCTCTTCCACCGTGCGTCTTTCTGTGGTGAGAAAGTGGATGGTACTGCTTGACATAGCAAACGGCACTGCTGAGGCTTAGAAGTGCTGGTTGCTATACGGTTGCGTGGTCGTGACCAAGGCCTTGATATAGACACTGTTATAAACACCCACGTGTCATGGTTGATCTTCTGAAGTACAGGTCTCGCTGGATTGGAGATTTTTCTTTTTTTTTTCATGCAGCAGAAGAGTGCATTGGAATAGTTTGATTTTCCTTTGTTATGATTGAAAAAGCTTCAAATCTTGTCATGAGACTAATAACGATGCGATTGTAAACAAGTCCGACTGTCTGGTGACTGTTCAGTGCTACACAAAATGGCGTTAGCGCTACTACGGTGTTACACTATGAATTATTACAGCTGCGCGGGCGGTCCTTCGCACTCAAATCTTTGAGGACCACTTGCCCAGGTTGCTATGCATTTTTAAATAGTTAAAGATTTTATTACACATTCTGATTTTAATTTGCAGAAAATGTTTTCAGTTAACACTGCAATCTGAAAGTAACATTTGGCAACACCATCTGAATGCACCAATGAGCACCACAGTCGGAATGCACCTATACCAA